AATCAAAGCGTGTCACTTACCGCAGTCCTCACACAAGATCTTCCCGACGTCCTTCTTCACGCTCTTCCCACTCGTGTCAACGGGCGCAAACGAAGCCTTAAACACCAAGGGCTCGTCAGTGGGGTCCATGAAAAAGATGTACTTGTGGCTCTTCTTTACTTGGGTGCACGGAGCCTCGGATCCGAATTCCCCCACAGTGACGAGCTGCTCCCGCTCCAGACCCCCGCTGTTCCGGGGCCACACGTCCAGCACGCGGACACTCACACGGTGCGGCTCCGCGGACGCGTTCCCAGGCGTGGACTGCACCTTGCCCTCGATCACCACGGCGGACTGGTAAGCCTGGTCCTGCAGGGACTTCAGACTCGGGGAGTAGCAGGCGAAGGAGACCCCGATGAGCAGCATGGACAGGCGCACCGGATCAAGCCTCATGCCGCCTGCTTTGGCTCGGAGGAGGCGGCTGGTCGCGTTGCGGCAGGGCGCGATGGCGGTGCAGCTGGCTCGGATGCGCAGACAGAGAGGAGGCTCCAGAAGCACGGCGGCGCGGCGGACCTTGCATAAGTGTCCATGCCATCGGGATCCGCTTCCCCCCCTCCTTCCTTCCCAGGGATTTTCAGCTGGGGTGAACAGCAGCTTTAAAAACGCCGGGTTTCAAATCCACTCACTGGGCTCTGACGAGGCATCGCAGACAGGCTCTTTTCCAGAAGATGCCTCCCCCCCCCCCTCAACACCCCCCACCGCCACCACCTCCACCTCCCCTCCTCTCTTATGCTGCCATAGCAGCTTCAACTGCAAGACGACGCCACTTCTTATCTTGGTCCACAAATCGCAGTGAGATGCCGCTGCGCTGCTGCGCCTCTGGATGCTCCGCATCCGAGGCGAGGGGAGGCGCAGGGATGCTGCAGTGAGCCACAAGTTAGAGAGCCCCGGCGGAAGAGCACAAACACCCGCTTTCATCCCACCCCCCTTAAAAAAACAAAACAATAATTTGAGCTGTACTAGCGCCTTCCACCGCGGCTTCTCTCCCCCCACCCACTCCTTCCAGCACTGGAGGGGAAATACAGCCGATTGCCAAGGGGGATCCGTTGAAACACACACACACCCACCCACACACCCACACACACCTAAAAAAGGCACTCAGAATGGACCAAACGGGTCCATCTTCCCCGTCCCTGCATGAAATAAATGAAATCCCAGATGGCTGTCTCCCTCCTCGGAGGCGAACCCTGAGCTGTGGCCAAGGCATTGCTCCAAAAATAAATAAATAAATAAATGGAGAGGAAAGGAGACAGGTTGGGACTGAAAATGAAGAGGAGTGACATTTCCAGAGTTTCAGGAGGCTCCCATCACACTTATTGCTTTAACTCTGGAAACAAATGATCTTCATAACAAAACACATTTATTTTAATCACCTCAGAAAGTAAAAGTTTGTTTTGATTTTGTTTGGGGTGAATATTGTGCTCAAGTCACATCTCCAACAAATCAGCACGTAAAAAAACAACACAAATCAACATGTTTTTATTTCTTTTAAAAACGCATGCTGGTTTGTGCAACGTGCGGGTTAAGTGACGCAAAGAGCGACATCTGCTGACAACCTGATGAGAGACGGAATAAATGCATAATGTCATGCTTTACACCAGGCAGGCTGTTCAAATAATAAACAGATTTATTTAAGGTATTTTTGATTAAATGTGCATATTGTGGCTCCAGAAAGCCTCACTGGCCCACAAAGACTATTAAACAGTTTTATTATTATTTTATTTAAGTGTTTTGTGTTTTAACACTTTTTTACTGTTTGTATTCCCATGCATTATTTTTATCTGTTTGCTTGAAGCCCTTTGAGATACCTCTAATGCGTTTAAAAAGTGCTAGCTTGAAGTCGTTCAGCTGTAAAACAAAGACTACTTAAAAAAATAACAGACTGAAGTGGGAATGTGGAAGTTTAATTGTTGCTAATGTGGAGTTCTTTCACACTTGCATTGCATTTTTAGGAATTATTTTGTTTTATGATCCTGAATAACAATATGAAAAGATCCTCGCTCATTAGTTTTGAGAAAACTCCTTTTCTGTATTCATTTTGTTTTCTGGTTTTTATTCTCTGGTTTTTTTTTTTTGTTTTTTTTTTTAACAGTTTTGTTTTAATTTAAATAGTTTTTCCACACCTTCATGATGTTTAAAGAACCTAAAATATGACATAAAACAGGTTAGGATGGCTGGCCGTTAGTGTAGCCAGACTTTTGCCTGTTTCTCCGTGTTCTGTGACATTGATAATTTGACAAAACATAAGATCACAATACTATTTCATTAAACTGGGAAGACAAACTTTAAATTCACATTTTTTATGATTTACTGTTTTTATGTGTCTGCTTGTGAACTTGACAGGATTGACTGCTCCTTGTTCCACTGAAATGGCATGAACGAGTCAATATTTTACAGTCAAGCAGAGAGTAAAAGTCAAACATTTACTGTGTGCGTCTGTGTAAAGTGACAAAGTATTAATTAAATATTATATTAGGTGTAACAATTCTCTCCTGAAAGCTAATTAGAAGGCGAGATAAAGGGCCCCAAACTCCATATGACACCCGGCTCACTTCAAGCCATGTGGACCATCATGCAGGCGGAGCTGCAATTCCAGTTTTTCACCGGTAGGGGGAGCGCGCGTTCTAGACTTGACGTGATGACGTCATCACGGAGACTGTGCGTTGTGTCGCTCCGCCGCCGCCGTGCCACGACTCTCGGTTTCTGGTCCATCTTGTGCAGCGAATGCGGATGCGGTACTCGGAGGCTTCGGAGCTGCTTCTCTGAGCCGTCCGCCGCCCCGTGACGTCCTCTACCGGCTCCCGTCGAAGCTTTGAGCCGCTCCGGCGTGGAGGAGGGGGTGAAAAGGTAGGTTAAACACAGGAAGTCGCTGGCTGGAATGACGTCCTCCGTCCGTCCGGCTGCACGTCATTCAGACGGTAGATGTACGTGACCTCACGTGCAGCTGAGCGGCGTGACATCGCCTCGCGGAGTTAACAGCTGATCCGACGACATGCGGCTGCGGCCCGGTGAGGGACACCTGTGTCCAGCCGGAGCTGCGGGGGTTCTGGTCCCGATGTGGAGCAAAACTTTGGGAGGAGAGCATCACATTCTCAAACTGAGACAACTCGTTTGGATGAAATAAGCTCTGGACGGTTCATTTTATTATTTATATGTTGAAGTGATGCGGCCTTTAGCCCACTGCAGGTTAATGATAAAAAACGCTGAAGTATCAGTCAGCCGGAGGAGATGAGTGTTTTTTATGAGCCGTTCACTTTGGATGCAGTATTCAAGTTAAATGTTCAAGTTTTTTTTTTTTTTTTTTTTTTTTATTGTTTTACGACTGATCATTTTCACCTACAGCCACTCAAATCATGATCAACTTTATTTAATTCTAATTTTATTTACCTGTTTGACTGGAGCCTTTAAATTAAACATATGACACGGTGCCACCTAAAAATGTGTATTTAAGCTGTTTAAAGACACAACAAGTTCATTAAACTGCAGCAGGTTTGGATGAGTAGCAGGTTTACAAACTCACTAAATTTTAAATCACTTTGCTTAAAAAATAAAATAAAATTCTGCAGCATCAGATAAATATTTAATCCTAAATGTCTTTGCTTTAACTTTTTAGGTGGATATTTTACGACACATTTAAAGGTACAACAAAAAGAAACATTTAGACTGAAAGGCTCAAAGCTTATAAAAAAAACTGCAAGACTTTAAATTATTGTGCAGATTACATATTTAATCCCTGAATTCTAAAATAACCACATATTGTGTCCAGCTTAAATAATTATTAATTAAATAATTACTCATTTTTTAATCTTTATTATGACAACTTTTATCTTTATTCTGACAACTCTTATTTCCCATGATTAAAAAATATGTTAAAGTTATTGATATGGATGTGCAAAGAAACATTATAAATGTGAGAAATAAAAAGGTTTAAATATTTAATCAATTGATATAACATTTTTTGCTATTTTAAAATATTTTTTATATTTGTTGACATAACTGAACTCCAGTTGGGCCTTCAAACTTTTTGAACAGTTTCACTGAGGATTTATTCAGTTACAATTTAATTTCTCCCTTTTTATGTGTTGTTAAAGTAGAAAATTAAAACACGATGGCCTTATCTGGAGGCAATGATTCAGTTTGGTTTGACTTTTGATGAGAAAAGAGCTCCTCAACATTTAACTGCAAAAAGAAGAAAATAAATAAATAAATTGTAAAATCACGAATTAGGGTAAAAAGCATTAAAATTAACTAAAATATTTAACATTCTTGTTTGGAATACAATAACTTTTTCTTTTAGAGCTGATTGGATAATAAAAAGTGTTTTTACATAAATTTTGACTTTGATGAAAGTTTTAATTTAAACTCACTTCTTAATTAAACAAACTTCGTCTCCACTTAAAGCAAACAATATGATAAAATCAACAGATTTATAAAATCAAAGCTGACGGGCTAAAGATGGCGGCAGAGTGGAAGAACCGTGCTGGCTCGTGCGCGAGGCCGGCCGTGCCCTTCAGGTTTACTCAGCACCCAAATGAATCCGTGCCAGATGCACAGCTGCAGAAAAGAGGAGGGAGGTGAGACAGATTTCTGACAGACCGCCTGCAGGAGGAGGAGGATGAAGAGGAGGCCTCAGTTATTCCAGCGGGCCTGTGCGCAAACACGCACAGAGAACAATCAATTAATATTATTAATAACTTAGGAGCGCGAGGCAAGGTGGGGCCTCATGATGCGCGCCGCTCCCTCACCTGTCTGCTGATTTTACCCATCATGCCTCTGGAGAAATGTCCAAAATAGGCTTAAAACATTAAAAATGTCGGGGTCATCTTAGTTCAAACTGTGAGGACACCGGAAGTCTTCGGCATGCACTCAAATAATCCAGATTTTTCTTATTTTCAGGAAACAACAGTTTCAAGAAGAAACAACTCCATGAGAACCACAAGTTAAGGGATTAAGTCTCATTTGTTGCATTTAAAGAAGACAGATTACCAGACTAAGTGTTAGAATAGGACTTTATCATATACAGGTAAGTGGTTCTACAGACCTACTGTTTTAATAAACGTTTTGTTGCCTAATCCCAAAATGAATTACAATGTGCCAAGATAAAGAAAGGTGCATAGAAGATGAATAAATTTCAGATTTTTCCATTAAATTGTGTCATTGTGCATTGTGTGGTGCAGAATGAGCTGTCATGTTGAGGCTTTGAGACACAATTTTATTTTTGTTTTTGGCAAGACACAGGAAGAAAAACTTTAAAGTCAAATTGTATAAAGATGCACAGTACCAAATTATATTTTCAATCTGCAATAGAGTATGATCATCTTTAGAAATGTGTGAGTTTTTTTAAAGTTAGAAGTCAGTGCTGATAAGTTCATAAAATCATATGTTTCTCTCTGGGGATAGCTCTGTAGTTTGTGCTGGTCTTCAGGTCTGTGAAGATCTTATTCCAGCCCTATCGCGACTATAAGACTGAACCAAAGCTCGTTTTTCACGTGACAAAAGTTTAAAAGCTTAAATTGTGCTATTTTAACTTGAGGTTACCACCTAAAACTAAGTATTCCTTTGTAAAGACCTAAACGCGTGTGTTATGGGTGATATTTTACTCTTAATCGTTAATAAAGATTAACCTTTTGTTGTGCTTATTGCTAATACTTAAATCTGAAAGGGGCTTCCGCTGTGTAAACGTCCCGCAGCGCCCTGGATCCTTCATTGACGAATCGAATGTTATAAGTCTCATGAGTTTGGTTCTGATTTGAAGTAACAAGACAGAAGGATGCGCAGGAGACGCAGCGAAGCATCAGCTGCTCTAACGCTCTGTTCTCGTTCCTGTGCGCAGATCTCGCGAGACTTCCGGTCCGGCCGTGGCTTTGCAGCAGACAGAGGGAGAAGGCAGGCAGCATCATGGCGGACAGAGACAGTGGAAGTGAGCAGGGAGGAGCGGCCACGGGCCCGGGCTTCGGCTCTGGGCACCTGGCGGCTGGAGGGGCGGGCTCGGCGTCCGGCCTCCAGCACGAGACCCAGGAGCTGGCCTCGAAGCGGGTCGACATCCAGAACAAGCGGTTCTACCTGGACGTAAAGCAGAACGCCAAGGGCCGCTTCTTGAAGATAGCAGAAGTCGGGGCCGGCGGGAACAAGAGCCGCCTGACCCTCTCCATGTCCGTGGCGGTCGAGTTCCGAGACTACTTGGGGGACTTCATCGAGCATTACGCCCAGCTGGGTCCGAGCAACCCGGGCATGGTGCAGGACGAGCCCAGGCGGGCGCTGAAGAGCGAGTTCCTGGTCCGGGAGAATCGGAAATATTACATGGATCTGAAGGAGAACCAGAGAGGACGGTTTCTACGGATCCGGCAGACCGTTAACCGGGGGCCCGGCCTGGGATCCACGCAGGGCCAGACGATCGCCCTGCCGGCGCAGGGACTCATCGAGTTCCGCGACGCTTTGGCCAAACTTATTGACGATTACGGCGTGGAGGACGAGCCGGCCGAGCTGCCCGAGGGCTCGGCCGTGACCGTGGACAACAAGCGCTTCTTCTTCGACGTGGGCTCCAACAAGTACGGCGTGTTCATGCGCGTGAGCGAGGTGAAGCCCACCTACCGCAACTCCATCACCGTGCCCTACAAAGTGTGGGCCAAGTTCGGGAACACTTTCTGCAAATACGCCGAGGAGATGAAGAAGATCCAGGAGAAGCAGCGGGAGAAGCTGCAGGAGGAGCTGCAGGCGGACGATGGAGACGAGGATTGACACTCGGAAATAACACCTGAAGACTACTGTACAGAGAAGAACCCTAAAGATCTAACTGTAATGGTTTAACTCCGAGGGAGCATCACTCTCAGTACCAGAACCCACGAGCTGACAGGTCACCCATAGCTGGATGTTACTCCCCCCCAAGATCACCATTAATCCAGTTTAACAGGCTGCTAAACAAAGTAATAACATTATATTTGAACTTTGTTTCCTACTTGACAAATACTGAACGGAGTGTTTATTTCCCTTATTAACAGAACTTTTGTACCAGTTAAAGCTATTGTACAAAAAAACAAGAGAAAAACAAGAGGTGTTTGCAATGTTCAAATGGAATTATTTCCGAGCTAATGACTTCAGCACAAATCAGATATTTTAATTTTTAAACCAAAATTCAAAAGGAAAAAAAAAAAGTCTTTCTAAAAACTCGTGTACTTACCATCCTATTTACCTTTACCTGTGAGTAGAGATGTGTTTACACCTGGAATCATATGAGGGCTAGGCCTGCGTTGGAAACTGTTAGATGTCATGCAGTATATATATATAAATATATATATATAAAAAGGAATATATAGGCATTTTCATGAAATGAAATAAGTGCTATCTTTGTTGTGCAATATGCGTTGCATATAAAAAAAAAGTATATTAAAGTCGTTGGTGGCTCCCTACAAGATGACCTTATGCCAGAGGCGTTCAAAGAAATATAAATATTGTAAATTTAGTTTGAATCGTTGCCATGCAGATGGGTTTATTATAGACTACCTTTGTGTCTCGTTGTTAATGCAATGTGTTCATTTTAAGGGTACTACGTGTGTGTTTGATAGAGGAAATGCAGTGACAACATGTAGCAAATAGAGGACGTGCACACCCAACACTTCCAGTCGTAACCGGCGCAGTTAAATGCGAAACGGGGCGTTCTGTCGGCCTGTGCATCGGAAACCGCGACGCTTTGTGATCTCGTTTAGTCGTAAAGAGTCTAAATGGTGCCAAGGAGTGCTGTGGCTGCATGTTAACCTGCACTGTTGTAGAATTCACCAGTCTCTGAAAACTGGGGGTCCCAACCCTCATCCTTGAGGAACACCATCCTGCATGTTTCAGTTGTTTCTTGCTCCAACATGCCTGATTCAGTGATTTAATTACTTCCACAAGTTCTGCAGGAGCCTGTTACTCACACTCTCATTCAAATCAGGTGTGTCAAAGCAGGAGTTCCTCAAGGACCACGGTTGGGAACCACTGTTTTTTAAAACATCGAGCCTCGGACCCTATCGCATCTTTAGCTGCTGAAAACGTTTGAGCAGTTCTTATCCAAAGGCGTGGGTGATGTAAATCAGAACATTTTAGTTTGCCTCTGAGGAGCCCGCCTGGTTCGGCCCAGTCCACCTGTTGGTGGATGTTTGGTACTGCCCGTTCAGGCCCGATTAGTCTGGACAGGCTCTGATTTAGATTTGTAAGCCCAGATGTTCGCCTAGTTGTGGGGGCGACGAGATTCTGTTTTGGTCTAATTGTAAATATCTGGGCTGTCACTTTAAAAACCAACTGGTTCTGATCCAGTTCAGTCGCATCTCATAGGTGCGTGATAGCAGTTTTATAAACTCTTTTGTCGGCGAACTCCGGAGAAGCTGGCAACAATCAGAACGCGTCCGATTTACCTCGACGCTAAATTCAACAAGCGCTTCGATCTGCCTGGAAACCAGCGAAGCGGGCCGTCGTTTTCAGAGCCTCTGGCATCAGAACCGAACCTGACCGATCGGGAGCGTCCTCTTCAGCATATAAACAACCTGGTGCCTTACACACTCCGCATGCTTACACGCCGGCCTGGTGCTTTGGATCGCAGTTTGGCTTCTTCTTGTGTGTGTGTTTCGTTCTCTTCTTCGTGTCTCAGCTCCCTTGAGTGCTAGCGCACGACTTGTGGTGCTAAAAGGGTCCGTTACGAACCCTTTAAAGAAACCGGGAGCAGAACTCTGCTTCTTCTTCCCTGACTTCATTGCCACCCCATCCCTCAGCCATCCAGGTATCGGCCTACATGTAAACATGGAGGGGGAGGTCACCTCGGTGCAGAGGAGTCGATCCGCCGCCAGCCGACCTCTTTGTCCTGGAGAGGGGCTGACGGCAGACATCAGCGGTGGTCCAAAACCAGGAGTGTTTGGAAACACCCCCTCCCCTAAATTGCTCATTCTCCAGCTCTAAAGTAGTTGAAGTTGCTCCAAGGGGAGGAGCAAAGCACGATTTGTTTTATGCAATCTTACCCTTCAGCGTTATTCCACATTATTTGAAGTTTTGCTGTTTTTGCCCATAAAAAAAAAAAAGAATCTATATAAATATATATTTTATTTTTCTGTGCAACATTTCATCACTTGTGTGCAATACGTTCTGTGCCAACGGTGGCATTATATGTAAATGAATATCCGATGACTATTTGAAGGCATGAGGCTGAACCCAGTGTTTTGTTTTTGCCGTGAAGGAGTCGTACGCCTTTATTTGCACTCGAAGCTCCACCCTGGAGGAACCTCCAGCTGTTAGCAGCCTGTCGGGTCACTTCACAAACGTACTTTAACTTGAAACGCGAACAACGTCACTTAAAGCCCCCCCTTTCCCCCCCAATTAAAAAAAAGTGTCGACTGGGTTGTCGAAGGTAGACTTTAAACATTCAGTGGAGGTTTTTATTTTATTTTCTTGTCTATTTTGGTGGTGCTGGAGGGGATGAAAAGAAATCTCCAGTTTTAGCTTTGAGCTAAGAAAAGGTGCTCGAGTCCAGTCCTGGTTGAGCTGCACGGTGTCTTCAGTGGTTGTTGTGTAGCACTTTGCTTTCAAACGCCCGACCAACCCTTCAGAACCATCTCAACCAAGAATGTTGTTCTCTTTATGTTGCCTCTTGTCTCAAGAGGACATTTTAAGTTGCTCATATGATGCATTCAGTATAATTTATGTACATTTGAAAAATTTGAACAAATAAATCTAATTTACCCAAAGATGGGGGAAACAAATCTACGTTTGTCTTGTGTTTTATTTTGCTGTTTCATTTCTTGTTTGGAAGTTGAGGACTACTGATTATTAAAGCTCCGTTAAAAACTTTTCCTCGACAACTATTTGACGGCAGAAGAGTTGTTTGATACAAGCCAGGCTGTGAAGTAACGCTTCTCATCCTGTCCACAATTTGTTGGTTACTTCCTGTTTGTTTTAATTCAAATCAAGTCAACTTTATTTATAAGCCTAATTTAAAACAAGCTGTTACCAAAGTGCTTAATGAAAATCAATGGGAGTATTTGAATGGAAAACGATAGAACTGAAAAAATTAAAAGCAAAAAATAAAATACTAAATCAAATCACACTAACGCCAGATCAAGCAGATGTGTTTTTAGCAGACGTTTAAAAACAGTGAAGTCTGTCTAATGTTTTGGGGGGGGGGGGCAAATTGTTCCAAAATTGTAATTTAACATTCCAGTGGTGGCAATTCAATTTATTTCTGTAGCTCCAAGTCCCAACAGAAGTCATCTCAGGGCACTGGACAGAAACATTCACATACATTATAAAAGATAATTAGTAAAAGTTGTATATCTAAGGAAGTCGGCAGAATGTGATGCTTCATGTCGTCGCAGTCTCATGAGCAACAAACAAGAAGAAACAGACAGAACGGCAGGTCCAGATGTACTTTTTATAGGAAGAAAGACAAAAAAAAAAAAAAAACATGTTGAGGATGGAAATAATTCCAAATACAAACAGCAAGTAAAGACAGCAGCAGAGTGAGGGCATGTGGTCAGTTGGCCCTCCAGCAGTTTAAGCCTATAGCATTATAATTTAGGGATAACTCTGAAAACCCAAGCTTAGCCTAACTATAGGATTTATCAAAAATTAAAGACTTAAGCCTCATCTTAGACAATGTGTCAGCCTCATTGGTTCCGCAAGAGAGGAGCCTGAAAACTGAAAGATCGTCCTCCCATTCTGCTTTTAGAAACTCTAGGAACCACAAGTAAACCTGCAGTCTGAGAGCAAAGTGCTCTTAGAAAAATCCATCCATCCATCCATCCATCCATCCATCCATCCATCCATCCATCCATCCATCCATCCATCCATCCATCCATAATCTTTACCCGCTTCTTCCTTTATGGGCCGCAGGTGTCACTGATGCCCATGTCCAGCAGTCACTGTGTGAGAGGAGAGGAACACCCTGGACAGGTCTCCAGTCCATCACAGGGACACATAGAGACACTGGGGACAATTTAGAGTTACCAATCAGAATAACATGCATGTTTTTGGTCTGTAGGAGGAAACCAGCGTACCCGATGGAAACCCACGCATGCATGGAGAGAACGTACAAACTCCACCCAGAAAGGCCCCGGGACCGGGATTTGAACCAGGGTAACCTGCTCGCTGAGAGGCAGCAGCTCTACCAGTTGCTCCACCGTGCTGCATAGATTTCCTGCTAGGAAAATATGGAATAATAAGATCTGTAATATAAGATGGAGCTAGGTTGTTGAGGGCTTTGTAAGTTTGAAGAACGATTTTGAATTCTATTCTGAATTTGGGAGCCAGTGGAGAGTAGAGAAGCTTCTAATCTTTTACAGTTTCAATGACTTTCATTATGACCAAACAGTTTAGTTTTTGTTCACACGGATGAATTGAAAGTGTTATGAGGTGATGTTTTCATGCTTTCAGGAGGTCTGTGCTCATGCTGCATGTTTAGAACATCTGTCCAATGGATTATTGCTGAATATTTTCACACATCCAGACATCAGCAGCCGCTGCTGGTTTCCCTTCAGAGTCTTACTGTGGACCAGTGACACGGTCCACTGGGCTCGTTTTGACCCCAGGGCAGCAGGAGGGTTGATGCACAGTGACGCGACCCTGTTCTGTGTTTCAGAGCTCAGTTTGGCTCCAGAAACACCTCAGGAAGTGAGCGTTCAGCCTTGTTTGGGCCCGGCTGACAGTTTAAAGTCTGAGCGTGTTGGAGGGACATGCCGAATCAAGACCGGTTCCGGAAAAGACTCAGTTCTGACGTGGCTGTGTGTTCAGTCCTTTTAGCATGAGGCATGTTGGGGCATCGCGGTGATATGTTGGAGCCTGATCGGACCCACTGAGAGTGGTCCAGATTAGTCTGGTCCTGCTGCTGAAATGTGACAAATATCCTCCCATAGACCTGCACCCATCAGGTCCCATGGACATGCACCTATCAGGTCCCACAGACCTGTACCCATCAGGTCCCACAGTCACATCAGGTCCTCCAGATTCAGCCTGTTTGTGTTCTTGTGGGTCTGAGGCTGATCCCAGCCATGAGGTGACGATAACTGTGTGAGTAGACCTGGTTCGGTTTCTGCTATAATGTCCTGCCATTTTCATCTAAAACTTTAATGTGATGCCACAGTCTGAGGCAGTGACATCACTCATTGCAGTAAAAAAGGTTAAATCATGCCATCTGGACCAGTTTCTTTAAGTGAGAAATGTTTCATCCTCCATCCAGAGGACTTCCTCAGTCTACGGCCTGCCAACCAGATCTGTCCCATAAGTAGCCTTCACTGCTGTGTTTCAAGCCAACCACCTGTTGGAATCTCAAAAGTTGGCTTTTAACACGTGCAAACACACCCATCCAAAACAATCATCATGTACAACAATCAAGTGTTTTAGGTCAGGTGGCCAACTTGCTGCTCACAGAAACAGCCTGAGAACAACCAAGGTCAAAGTGGTTCAGAAAAAGGGTTGTAAGCTCAATCATCCAGAAAGATAACAAGAAAAAAGGTTAAATCATTAGCTGACACGATTTAACCTTTTTTATTGTTATCTACCTGGATGATTGCGCTTACCACCCTTATTCATTGCAGTGTTTTTTATTTCAGCCACCAGAGGGCGCCAGTCACCCACAAATACTGACCTGGGCGTCTGAGGACCCGCAGCGTTTGAGTTGAACTCTTTAACCCTGTGTTGACTGGAACTCACACAGAAACGCATGTGAGCAGTGGAAACGCATGTGAGCAGTGGAGCTCGTGTTTTTATTTCTGCACACTGAAAAAAGAAGCAGTTATTCACAACCTTCATATATTCTTTATTATTAGAAGGCAGCGGTTTATTTACATCTTTAATTTGTCTTTATAACATTCTTGTTTATAGTTTTTTTTTTTTTCTTTTGGGATCTGGTGAGATGAACAAGTAAAAACCTAAAACACGTTGTGACGTCAGCTGTTTCACAAAATAAAGAGGTTCGTGAAGCTGAGTGAACACGTCATGCTCGAGTAGGAAGCCGGAAGATGAAATGATTTGTTTTTCTGAAGACAAAGGTAAAAATGTTTTTGCATGTGTCTGTTAGCAAAATCTCTCTTGAACGCCTGGACGGACAAGTCCCACAGAATGATCAGTGCATGAACATCTAAAGCTCATGTATGTTGGGAGTCCACCTGGTTTAAGATGGTCGCCACAGCTAAGCGGACACAAGCACAAAAATGGCTACAACTCAGTAAATGTCAAACATATGGAGCTAAACTTGGGTGTGGTAGTGGCTGAGGGTTGCTCATACACATGCTCTGAGCACAAAAAGATGTTGCTCAAGACAAAAAAAACCCAAAAGCATTTCGGTTAGAAGCATTTCTCATTTCTAGAAAAGAAAGCGAAGGCCTTTAACTGATAACATTTAAACTGTTTATTTGTTTGTTTTTATTTGTTTAGTTGTCGGACAACATCCACATGGACTGTCTTCAGAGCCTGGCTCAGAAACAGAAGGTTTATTTGATGTTCTCCTGCGTTTAACCACGTTTTTAATGCGTGACATCAACTTCCTGACGACCCATTTTTAAGTAACGCGCGTGCACGTGCGTGTGTGTGTTTGAGAGAGAGAGAGAGAGAGAGAGAGAGAGAGAGAGAGAGAGAGAGAGATGGGAGGAGGGAGGAGGGAGGGTTTGGAAGCTGGAATGTTGTGATGTCAGCAACACACACACACACACACACACACACACACACACACACACACACACA